TTAAGCGTGGATTGGGTGGCTATAAAGTGATAAAGCTAGTAGTTTAAACAAGTGTGGAGAAGCATCAGGCAAGTTTCTGCAGAATGATGTTTCAGTGAATCTCTATCTTGCAGTTTTCCAGCTGTTGTAATTCCAAGCTACTGATGATTTGAAAATATCATTAAAATTTTGGACTATTTGATGTCACTGAAGTCTCCTAAATTGTGATTTGCTGATATGTACTAAAGTTGTGTTCAGAACCCCAGAAGAGAGCTTTTTTTTTTCCTTAGTTTAGCATGTATGTCTTAACAAATATGCAGTAGTACTTGCAGTTCTATAATGTGTTTTCTTCTTTTGCATGCTGTTTTATATCATCTTCTGGAAAAACTAACCTTGGAGATCTTGTATACAGGCCTTACCTGGTAAATAGGGCATATTAATGGATTGTGATGCACTTCACCAATTTTAGTCTTTCCTGCTATGCCTTGATTGTCTTAGGGCGCTAAAGCAATAACCTCATACTTCTGCAGTGGTGTAGTATGATAACATGCAACATAAAATCTTGAGTTACACATTGGTTGCTGACAGTGGTGTATCTTTAGGGTCTTGATGGCAAGTACGAAGGGGTTGTCATGTTACTAAAAGAGAAATGATTGTAGGGAAAGGTGAATAAGTCATGAGGCTCCAGAAGAAGTTTCTTGTGCTTTTAATGTGTATTCTTATGTTTCTCCATATGAACCTTGAAAATTTGCTGTATTAGTGCCTATAACGTGTAAAATTCATTATGATACATGTATATATCTGAATTTAAAATTATGAAATGAAGTATAACTGTACTTAATCTATACTTAAACTAAAATTTTTAGTTTTTTAATAAACATGAAGGTCATCTGTACCACTAAGGGAAAAATAACTGCATATTAATTACCTTTAAGTAATGTATTTTATTTTTAAACGATGTATTATAATAAGAGGAATGTGAAAAAAATATTCTAGTGCCTTCTGCTCTAGTATCCTTTTTTATCATTCTAGATTTGGAGCCCATTTTTGGAGGTTACAAAGTACCTTATAACAGGTGCAAAATCTCTTCAGCTAAGAGTCAATCTCTAAGGATTTGGGGGATAATCAAGATGCCTAGTGTAAGAGGAAACTAACGTTCTTAGATGGTGGAGTCAGAGTAGCAGTGGTGGGTTCTGCTAGATATCTGTAAGTTAGGCTCCAGCTCTGACGTATCCCTTGGATAAGCTTGTTCCCTCCATTGGTTATAGAGGAAGACTGTTTTCTTAAATTTATTTGAACAGATTCTCTTACGAATGACTTTTCTGTCATGCTGATGATGAGGGGACCAAACTCCCTGAATCTGCTTAGCCTAGCGCAATATCACCCTGTGACTTTGAGCCCAGCACTTCTTCACTTTGAATTTTGCAGCTCAGTGCAGGTTTATCAAAAGCTAAGCACGGCTTAATCAGGGATGGCGGTCGGTTGACTTTGAACACAGCCACTGAAACAACTGTTGCTGAACTTGACAAGATGGATAGATACATTGATTAACCTTGCGGCGTAAAGTAATCCTCCTTAGATATTTTAATTCATGACTTAGGTTCAGAATAAAGATTACTGCACTGAGCAGCCTGACCTTTTGGGGTCATGGGCCAGTGAAGATTCTGAATCTAAGGAGGCTTAGAGTTAGGGGGTTTTTGATGTGAGATTTTCAGGATTTTGTTCAGAAGACTGTGTTGCTTTTTCCTCTGGATCACTGCCCCAGTGACTCAGTCGTAGGAGCACAGTGCCTTTGAAAGTGTTGACTTGAATGGTTGTTACTTAATATATAGTAAGAAAAGGACAGTTATCAAGTGGCCAGGGTTTTAACCCTGTAAGCTACTTTTTTGGTATTTACCATTTACTTTTTCCACTTTTACATGGTAAAAATATTTTCTCACTTGTTTAAATGTTCATGTAGCATCAGGCTTATAGGTAGGAAATCAGCTGACATTATTTGCTTCTGTGAGTGAAGTTAGCCGGTGTGCTAAAAGTACATCTTAATTGTCATGCAAAAATCGCTTTTACATTTCCTAGCCAACTAGCTGCCCTCTCATGGCTCGGGGTCCCGGTATCGTGGGAAAGGTGTAGTGGAGGGGGAAGTTCTACAACAGTGAGTAAAGCAGATGGTTTCTCATAGTAGTGTGAAGATCAGCTCAACTTTGAGAACCCATTTAGACTTCAGCTCCGTTCTCTTTGAGCACTAATGTGAAAGCAAGCAACTATTACATGGGGAAAAAAATGCTTTTATGTTTTCCAGAACTGGTATGAGGCCAAGGGGATTAGGGGATCAGGGTGCAGTTCTCCTCCTGGCTTGTTGTTCATGAGAAGGGAAGGTTGTACATTCCTGCTTTCCTTTATGATAGTTACCTTCCGTACATCTGGGCGCACTGTTGTTGCTCAGACCGGAGAGCAGCAGCCTGAGCCCTGCCCTTTTAAATGGATGGCTGCAGCCACAGCAGGGTGGCTGCAAACAAGGAAGGTAACTGGAGAGGCAGTGGAGACAGCTTAGGACCTCAGGTCCCATACTGCTGCTTTAGTAGCCTGCTAAGGAGTATATGTGTGTTGGAACATGGAGAGGAAGAAGGATGAATATCAGGAACTGGGAAATTCAAGTGCGTGCTGGTAACTGCAGAATTTTAAATTATAAGATCTAGAAGGGACGTTAGGATGACACCTGCTCTGTTTGACTTTCTCAAGGTGGCATTGTAAATGTCATCCCACATCAACCTGTGACATTCTTAAGCATTTTTGCAGACTCTAAAAAGCTGCCCAGAGGTGTGAGATAAGCTTGCACTTTAGTGACAGCTTTAGCTAATTTTGGAAGTATCCTAGAATGAGTCCATTAGGTCCAGTTAAACTGAAAGTATTCAGACTACCTAAGTGCTCTGTAACCTGTTCTTTACCTATAACAGGCTGAGCTTGAACTGCTCGCTCACTCGCTTAGGCTAAATGTGCTGGCCATCTGCTCACTCCCATCTTTTTACCTAACACTGATACAACAAAGGTATTAAACACTGATTTTTTTTTTTGAGCATCATCTGTTGAGAGAGCTCTGTTCTCATATACTAACTAAAATTGGAGTAGTGTAGACTCCAGTAAAATATCTGATTAGCTTACTAATTAATGTAACCAAGATTCATAGAAGAAATGATCAAGATAATGTGTACACTCCTCAGAGAAAGAGATTGAGTATAATACACGGGAGTTTTCACCTGCAAAGGTGAACAAAGTTGTATTATCTCTCTCTGAAACAGTCATTTGTCCTGGTGTTTCCTTATTATTTTGGACAGGACTTTCAGAGTAGCTTTGATCTGTGATCTGCTTTGATCCTGCTTGTGATGAGGCTTTTCTTCATTGATTCTTTTCCTGAAAAGGCAAAATCCTGTTAAAAGGACTCGTCTTTTTTTCCCTTGTATTTTCCTCTTTCTCAACTGTTTCTGTTCAGATATCACCCTTTAGCAAGCCTTCAGCTTGTCTCTGGAGGAATTGCTGTTTCATTGGCATTGTGTGTGACTGTCTGGGCTTGGAATCAGGCTCGCTGCACTTGGGGCTGCTCGCTTCATGTGGTTTGAGGATATGGGTTGGGGTTTTTTTTCCTTCTTTTTATTTTTTCCTTGTAGATTTTTTTTCCCTGGGTCAATGCGGTATTGTCAGTGACATCTACCAACCTAAGATTATTCGGTGTCTTTCCATGCAGCGTGACTGCGTGTGTCATTGTGCTCCATGAGTCTGTGCCTCCAGTATCTGCCCTGCCCTTGTGCAATGCTGAATTCCCAGTGACACACCTGCAGTCCCCTGAGTGCCTATCCTGTTGTCTCTCTGATATTCACAAATTAAGTAACAGCACTCACCTATTCAGATTCTCTTGTTTTTAAACAAAATATTTTTTTTTAGGGAACAGTTGTATTTTAATGTAGTGTTTGCTTCAGCCCAGTGCTACCTGTTTTCCAGAAGCAGTGAGGTGATCTGTTTGAATACTAGTTTTCAACTCGGTCTTTGAGCCATTATGTCCTTAGAGGCTCCAAAATTATGATTCAAAGAGATTACCTTAAGAGAGCATGAACTTTTTAAAATTTTTTTAGCAAATGAACTTTTAGTGTAGCTTGGTCTTTCAGTTATGTGATGGTACCTGATTTGAAGATCACTTTTCTGTGATGCAAGATTCGGGGGTTTTCTCCTTACTCTTTTAGTTTGCAATAGGTGCATATCTCATTTCTAGACTCTCATAGGTTATATTTTACCTGTCTGAAAAAGGACTTAGCAGATCTGCTTTAATGGAAAGTAAACAGTCTGTTTAAACTCTGTTTCAGTGGGGAAATGAAAAAGAACCTCTGTTCTCTTCATCTACCAGTAGTCATGAAGCTTTCGGGAAACTTGAAATCTTAAGCCACTATTTTGTCTTTGTTTAGTCAAAATTTGTCAACAGGTTAATAGGTGAAGGGCACATAAACAGACAATATTTCCTTAGGAAATTGGGTTGAAAGGTAGTAGCTCAGTGAAACTCTTGAGTCCTCTAACCTGTTAAACAACTTGCAGAATTTGCAGAAATGTTTGTAAAATTACAGCCCTGTAATTAGTTCAGGCTTTTACTGCAACTGTACATTCTGATATTTTTTTAATGCAAGCAGTTAGCTAAGTAGCTAACTAGCACTTTTGATGTTGTGTAACCCATTTTGTGTGCACACTTGCAGCATTTTCACAGTTGTGCTGTGAATACAAATACTTGAAGTATATTCTGCAGCTTGGAATGAATGCAGCTTTCTACTTGTCATTGTTGTACCAAAAAATAGCTTCAGTTAACTGAGAATACATACATAAATGAGAAAGTGAAATATGTTGCAGGTAGTTTCCTGAACTGTCAATTATATACTGTTAAAACAGTTTCATTATGTTGGTTTTCCTCATATATATTGATACCTGTTCAGAAGTCTTACATGTCACTTCTTCTGTTGATTTTTTGTTGTTGTTGTTATTTGCAGGTCTGCTATTAAAGCATTGCGTCCTGGTGGATCTCTGGTCTATTCTACGTGCACTCTCTCAAAAGCAGAAAACAGCGATGTGATAAATCTCGTTCTAAACTCCTGCAGTAATGTCACGCCTGTGGACATAAGTGAAATGGCCAAAGCTGTTTCTCAGGAATTCACTTTTCTCAGTGGTACTCAACAGCATGAACTTCTGGTTCTCCCAGAGAAAGGGAGAGCATGGGGTCCAATGTACGTAGCTAAATTAAAGAAAATATAGTTCATCTGATGCCTGTTAGTTTTTTTTATAAGAGATGTGTCATAAATTAATATTTATTTCTAATCTCGTATGTCTATATGAAAATGCCCAAGGCAACTGAATTTAGAGTATTGCAGCTTTGTATTAGCTGCTGCCTAATAAAAAGGGAGCTAGACACTTAAATTACTTTAGCTTAAAATACTGAATGTGTTTTCTAAAGTGGACTTCTAATGAAGTCCTTATGTAGTCAAGGGAGCTTTGTTTTATTTTCAAGGTGATGTTTTTAAATGGATTTGTATCTTAGAATAGAGGCCTAATGTAGTGGGGTTTTGCACTGTTTTGTTTTTTTTTTAATTACTCATTTGGTTTTAATACAGTATATGTTAAAAAAAATGGTTTCAATGGAAATGAAGTCATGGAAATCCTGCATTCTGTCTCAAACACGTATGGAAATCTGTTTTCCCATGAGAACTGATTTGCATGCAGAGTTTGTCATTCTAAGCGCTGATTGTTCTGAGCACTGGCAAAACAGGTTTCATATTTCCTAAACTGTTTGCTGCTTAAAAACTGTCATTTGTTTACAGTTGCAAAGTTCAGCAGCTATATCAACACCAACTTTTTCTTTTTTAATATTTTTATATTTTTGAGTTTGGAAATATATAAAATGAAAGATTAAATTACATTGAAATGTCCTTAAAACAGTAGATTTAGATGGGTTTAGCCAGCAGTGTCCACAGCACATATTTGAAACAGAATCAGAATGATTAATAACCACAATGATAGCACAATGTTCGGAAAGTGTTGTTACATAATTACAGGCATGATGAGCGAAACAGACAATCTGGAGAAGTGGCTGATCCACTGAGTTAAGAAATGTTCTGTGAATTCATGATGTCATGTCTGTGGTGTGTAAGGAAAGAGAGTCCCAGGGAGAAGATGCACTGATGTTTTTAGGTTCTATCCATTTTGCTGCACAATGCTATGGTTAAATATATAGATGTATGTGCACATGTTCGTGTATATGCACGTGAAAACTGTGTCTTCCTGTGGCCTGCCTGTGGGTCAGGTGTACAAACTTCTTATTCAGCAGTGCTTGAATTAAGCCTATGAATGGATCATGTAATGGTGTATATATTAGGTTGAATGCTTTTCTTGAAGTAGAATGGAGCCTTTTCACCCCTCTCAAAGCAAAGAGGAGTCCTTTCCCTGGCTGAAGCTTATAATATTTTTTTTAAGGAATGGTGTTTTACAGAACAGAGGTTGGTTTTTTTTCTGGTAGATGAGTTGCTTGTGTGGAAATGCGTGTGAGACTGTATACATTTATATATTAAATATGTGCGTACATCTCTGTATATATGTAATTACAAGGTGTTTTCCAATCACAAACATGATTATTAATGCAGATTTGATAATTTTTTTTCTGAATACAAAAGAATGTCAACTTCTAAATACCGGAAAAACTACCAAATTGGTGATTCTGCACCTCATTAATGAGGCAGGAATAAAGTTGATTGCCTGAGGCCTTCTATAAGGAGCTCCACGCAACCGTGCTGGAAATGCAGTTGCACCATCTGTTTCTGATCTCACAGCAACAGAACCACTGGAGAACCACATGATTTTCTCCAGTGATTCTGTTGCTGTGAGCTCAGAAATACGTGTTGCAACTGTAACTGAACTGCTTTTTGTCTCTGACAAGTTCAGTTGGCTTTTCACTGCTTTTCTTCTCTGCTCACCTTGTTACACTGATGAGCCTCCACTCTGCATTCACACCCATTCTCTGTCAGTAGACCTGTGGTCATAGAGCACTCAACATTTGTCCCCCCATTGTGGCTGCTGGAAGGTCCTGTCCCTAGTATCCAGAGCAGTGAGAGGACAATGTTCAGGAACACAGCACCTGAACTGAAGAAAATCTTCGTTGCCTAAAGCAGATGCTAATTGTGAGTGGTAGCTTTGGTTTTTCAGGTTTCTATGACTAAGAGGAGGATGGGGTGGGCGGTTTGCCCTCGGAATACTGTCTCGCTGCTACACCTTTTGCTGGATGAAATCCATGCATGAGGTGCTCTGCCACTTTGGTGTGTGAGCTTCCATGCTTTTCCTTTCCCCTGCTTTGTGGTGAAAAATGTTTGAGGTGCCCCTGTAGCATTAAATTGTCAGCAGTGTCTCTGAAAACTTAAGAGGGTGTAAAGCGTATGCAACTTGAGGCACAGAAGTTACTAATGTATGCAGATGATATTTGTGTTCCTATGGAAAGACCTAACAGCATCTGTCCCAGAAACATTAAATATAATATCCAGATTTGGAGTCATCTCAGGCTACTGGATGAAATAACAATACCCTTGTCAAAATGCTTTCCATCAGTTTTATTTGCCCTGTGGAAATTGAAATGGAAAGCCAAGAATGTAACTTACTCGGGAATGGAATTAAAATTTGTGGTTAAATTGAATGGTTGAGGAGAACGTGGGCTAGGTAATCACAGAAAGAACAAAGGGATCCTTGAAAACTGAACTTCGCTCAGTCTCAGCATATGGGCAAGTCCCTGTGAACTGCATTGCGTTAGACTTAAATTATGCAGCAAGGCCTCCTGATGTATGTAAAAGCTGTGCTGAGTTCTGTATAACCCTTTCCTGGTCGCCTGGAGTTTCTTTTCAACTAGGCTAAAAATGCACCAAAAAGGGAGGAAAAAAAACGAGGCTAATTAATAGGTGATATTTATTTTGCTTTGTAGCAGGTAAATGGTGGTTGAGGGTGCTGCAGAGGTCTTTTTGTTCTGTTCTAATCAGTTCTGGCTGGTGATAGGAATTTGGTAAGCATGTGTGGAGGGAGAGGGGGTGAGAAGGGAAAAGCAGAAAGGAGGGGAGGCATGCCTGTAGAAGGAAGGGGCAAGGTTTGCACACGCAGGGAAGCAGCTTCCACTCAAGGGTAATTCTTGAAAAGATTTAATGTCTGTTCAGGTACCTTTTAGATGCTTCTGATTTCCAAAGACTGCTTCTGTTCACCTTCAGAACAAGGCTGCAACACCTTCCCTTTTTACACCTTTTTCCCAGGGAACTGTAATTTAATTCCTCTACTACATCCTGCCTCCTCTTTCACAGACAAGACTGATGGAAATGGAAATCCAAACAAGCAAACAGGTCAGCCTCTCTAAGGTAGAGGGAACTGCAGCCTCAGGAAAAAGGCAGGTGAGCAAGCAGGGCCAGAAAATTACCATTTTTGTTCTATTGTGGAGTAGCCAGAGAAATCTGCATGATCTCTAATGAAGGCAATTAAGACAGTGTTTGTGCAACTACTCACAATCATATTATGCATAGCACACATCAGTGCCAGGGTACCTCACAGGCAGCAGAGATAACTTGGTCTCAAATAATGTCGTGCTTTTCCAGCATTCCCTTTTCAAACATACAAAAAGTAATTTCCCTGTTAGTTTCGGGGGGGGGGGTTGGCACAATAATAAATGAAAGGCTTCTATAAAGGCAACTTCAGTGTTTGCCAAATTTTATCCTTTATTCATTGACATCTGACACAATTCAATTATAGCTTGTCAAAAGCATTCTCCACTGTGGAATAGAGTGGAAAAACAGATTACATACAAATGGCTGCTGAGTGTTACAGTCAACTAGGGGACTAACGAACTCTTGGCTTTCTTAGTGAGATGTGCAAAGAGAAGGTAAGCGCACTGAAAGAAGGGTGAAATGAAAAGATCAAGACTATGGCAGTAGAAGAAAAATGTGAAATACTGGAGAAGAGGTGCCGTGGTTTTTAATATGGAAAAGCAGCAGCACTGCACCCTGTGCAGGAAAAGGTCTGTGAGTGTCTGTGCAGTGGGGAGAGGAGAGTTCCTTTGGAGAACAGTTGGGGAGAGCTGCAGTTACCTGTGCTGGGGTGGTAGAATCCCCCTAGTTCATTTGTCTGTCTTAGCAGAAAAAATGTGCTTTGAGGACATCTATCATGAAAACTGCGGGGGGCTTGCTTTAAATTTGCAGGGTATTTCAATTAGCTGTGAGTGCTTAAATAGGGCATGGCTGCCTGTTTATTGCAAAATGAGTGGCTTTATCAGTGCAGTTTAACTATCAGAAGAATTGATTTGGTGGGAGGAAATGTTGAGAATCTGATCTGGCTTAAATAGTTTGTTCTGTCATAGAATATGGCCTGCTGGTCAGCTGATTTAACTGCAATATCGGCTGTAAATGAGACTTTTCCAGGAGAAACTTGAACAGTACATCTTGGTGTAGTCTCTTAACTTCCAGGTGAAAACTCAGGTAAAAGTGAAACTTTAAAGTCTCACTTATCAGTTTGTCAAACTCGGATCAGAGAGCACAGGGCATACACAGTCACTAGCCTTACCTTTTAGATGGTGCTGCTGTGTCCCCACATTTTTTTACTAAAGATAGGTTTTTATAAGACGGTTCATAGCAATCATGAAACATTTGTCAGAAAATGCTTTCATTGGCTGATCTTCCTGGCTGTCTCCTAAGATTTGAGGTCAAGGTTAGTGGCCTTGGAAGGTTTTATTTTCTTAGTAGTTGTACCTAAATTTCAACAGGGGCTCCCATGGCTCCATTTAAAAAATGCATTTCAGATGGTACCAAAATAAAATGCCTCAATCGAAAAGTCACAACTACTCCCAGAGAAAGAGATGGAACATAAACCTAGGTTTCTTTGTATTTCAGGGAAGATTTTCCACTCCCTACAGCTGTGTTTAAGGTGGTCAATTATATAAATGCCTCCTCACTGTTTCACTGTGTGATAGTGTGTCAGTATGGAGATGGCAATACAGTGGTCTCTTACCAGTGTGTGATGGTAATGTAACTCTTCATGGTCACAGAGGAAAAGGAAGTGGATCTACTACCCTAAAACCACAGGTAATAATAAATGCTATAGTAAGAAGTGCTCCAAAAATTTTTGCAGAACTGAATCCTATGTTAAAGAAGGTAGAAGCACTAGAAAGCAGCACAGCTAACGAAATTTGAACGAGGTAAGTGCTTCAGCTGATTAGGGACGTTCTTACCTTGTTCTCTCCAAAGCGAT